TAACATCGTTGGTGAGAGAACTGTTCAAGGGAGATCAACCTTCGACAAGTGATTCAGCTTGGGATCCGGTTATCCTCAATGCGGCGAGAGATGAAGTGCGCTTGGGACTAAACGAGGAGATGCGCCAGAGTTTTCTGGCAAAACATGAACTCAGGGGCAATCTTCTTTGCCTCGGTCTTCCCAAAACTAATAAGAAGGTATCATCAGCCCTTCCCAAACGTCAAAATGTACTTAAGAGAGATGGGTTTCAAGCAAGAACACAGAGACAGGTTGGGGCATGTCTTAACGCTCTAGGAACAGGCGCTTCAGAACTCCTGAAGCTTCAACTTCCCTCAGAGGGCAATTTAAAAAATGCCTTATCCAGTTTGGCCGAAGGGATACATTTATTAGCAGACCTTCAATTTCGGTTATCACTCACTAGGCAGGCCTTTGTTGAACCTTGTCTGACGTTCGTGGGTAAATCAGCAGCAGACTACTCTGCTGCTGATTTACCCACTGCTGCAGTAGACGACTGGCTTTTTGGGACAAATTTTGCAGAAGACTTAAAGTCGGCGCAAGCTTGCGCTAGAGCAGGCAGAGATCTGACAAAGTCAGGCTCAACACCAGCATCCAGGGCTTTTCTCCAGCCAGCTCATCGACAACCTATTCAACATTCAGGGAGCTCGGGAAACTTTAAGCCCCCTGCGCATCGATCAACAGCATCGGCTCGTTACGTAGGGGTTCTGCAGAAATCGAGTCACAACAGGAACTTTCGCTCCTGGTCCCAAACCAGAACACATCGCTAGAGCAAGTAAGATCGCCAGGACGACTAGCCAGGTATATTTCCGTATGGCGATCGATTACTAAGGACCCCGAGGTAATCGAGGCAATATCAGGCTATCATATACCTTTTACGATAAAGCCAGAACCTCGCAACGTCCTGCGGGAACCTACATTTTCAGTAGCCGATTGCGGAAGCCTGCGACACGGAGATAGCACGCTTACTTTCTAAAGGCGCTATAGTAGTGACGGTACCCTCTGTAGACCAAGTCCTATCTCGTTTTTCTTAATTAAGAAAGCTTTGGGAGGGAGACGCTTCATTCTAAATCTTAAATACTTGAATAGATTTCTATCGCCTCCTCATTTTCAGCTAGAAGACTGGCGCACTGTCATACAATTGATGACTCTGAGTTCATGGATGACGACTCTTGATTTTGAGGACGCTTACCTGCTAGTTCCGATTTACCAGGAACACCGCTGTTTTCTTCGTTTTCAATGAAGAGGGACCACTTATGAATTCACAGCTTTACCTTTTGGCCTATCTACAGCGCCGTAAATTTTCACCAAGATAGTCCGCCCTGTGGCAACGTTACGGAACAGGGGATTTCATTCCATGGTCTATCTAGACAATTTTCTTTTTCATCCAAGAGAGCGTTTACGCAATTTTAATTCCTCTCTGAAGCTCCTATCGGCATTGAGTTTTGTTTTCAATTTTTTGAAATCACAAACCTACCCTACGCAAAGTTGCAAATATCTAGGATTTATTTTCAATTCGGTTGCCCAGTCTATTGCAATACCACCGGTTCGTCGCAAAAAATTGCGGGAGATGCTAAGTATTTTGTCAAACAAATCATCTTGCCGACTTATAGACTTCGCGAGCTTCATCGGATCTCTAGTTTCGGTTTGTCCAGCAGTTCAGTACGGATTCCTTTATATCAAAGCTTTCGAAAGAGAGAAGTTTTTGGCATTAAGGAAATCTAGAGGCAACTACAGAGCTAAGATGCCTATTCCTTCCCATCTAGCGACAGATCTCCAATGGTGGCACAATGTATTCTCTGACTCACAACAATCTAGGAATATTCGCTCAAGAAAAGCCTCTCGAGAGATCTTTTCAGACGCATCAAGGCAACTTTTTACGCGCTGCAATGCTTTGCAGTAGATCTTCGCGATTGCGAGGTTCTCCTTAGAATAAATAATACGACGGCAATCTCCTATATCAATCGCTTCGGTTCGGTCCAGTACCCGCGCTTATCTTTTCTGACAAAAAAAATCTGGCAATGGTGTGAGAAACGTAACATTTTGCTTTCCGCATCATACATTGCGTCTATTAACAACACCATAGCGGACAATGAATCTAGAGTAATCAGCAGAGACACTGAATGGTCTCTATTACAAGACGTTTTCTCGAGATTATCGTCTGCGTTTGGGCCTTTTGACATAGATCTCTTTGCATCGATCATTAATGCAAAATTTTCAATATATGTATCTTGGTTCCCAGATCTAGAAGCTATTACAGTTGATGCTTTTACCCTCTCTTGGACCAATCTGAACTTCTTTGCATTCCCTCCTTTCATTCAATTACCTCGTGTCTTACGAAAGATTTTGGACGATAAAGCGGAGGGTACGGTAATCGTGCCGTGGTGGCCATCTCAGTCATGGTTCCCCCTTTTTCATCAATTATTAGCCAAAGAACCTATTATAATTCCACCTTCTTATGGTTTGCTTCCTTCTCCCTTCAGGGATTGTCACCCAGCATGGAGGACAATTTCTCTGGCTGTCGGGAGGTTATCCGGCAGGCTTTCATCCATCGGGGAGTACCTCTGCAAACCTTAAAGACTATAATGGCCTCGCTGACCGAAGCAACACAGAAGCAATACTCTAAACCTTTGAGGAACTGGTGGTCGTTCTGTCAGGATTCGTCAACTTCTCTTTCTTCGCCGACTCCGGCACAGTTTCTACAGTTCCTATCTCAGGAATTAAGAAAGATGAACTCGTTCTCATCTCTTAATAATATTCGCTCCGCAGTTTCATTGATTACAAGTATGGGAATAGGTAGTCATACACTGGTCAAGCGTTTTTGTAAGGGAACGGGAGTGCTAAAACCTCCTCGGGCCCGTTATGATTATGTCTGGGATCCGGCCCCAGTCATCAATAAGCTCGCAACTCTCTACCCACATGAGTCGCTCCCATTAGAAATTGTCACAAAAAATCTTCTCCTTGCTTTAGGCACGGGCCAGCGTATACAAACATTAGCAGCCATTAAGATCTCGCACATCTCTCTTACTGACAAATTGATTATTCACGTCGAAAGCAGACTGAAAACATCAGCCCCGGGTCGTCCTCAGCCTTTATTCTCATTTTCGCCATTTAAAGAAAATGAAAATCTTTGCATTTATAGTCTAGTAAAACACTATTTAAATATTACCAAAGAGTTACGAGACGCTTCCTGTGACTCGTTGTTTATCGCCTTGCGGAAGCCATATGGAACAGCGAGCCGGCAAACGATTAGTCGCTGGAGTCGCTTGTGTCTGCAGGAATGCGGGGTGAGGACTGATCTTTTTTCTTTACATAGTACGCGACACGCATCTACTTCATTCGCAGCCCAGAAGGGAGTACCGTTAGAGATAATCCAGCGAATAGCTGGATGGTCAGGTAGATCTCGGGTCTTTGCAGCCTTTTATAACTGATCTATATTGAATCCAGAGCAATTCAGCGAGGCGTTGTTTTTAGCCTAGTCTATAGAAAAACGGCTATTTTCATATAAGATGAAGAGCCGCCTTAAGTATATTTTCTGTAGTTTTTCATAAAGAGGTGACTCGCACACTTTTTATTATTATGTTTGTAATGTACTATGATATCGAAAACAGTAAGATTGACATTGTATCGAAAACAGTAAGATTGACATTGTCAATGAAAGAAGCTGCTTCACGGCGAAAGCAAATCGCATTCTAAACATCTACATAGTCCATCCGTACGAAACCATTAGGCGTAATTGGAAAATCAAACGAACTCACAGAGTGAAGTTCGATTTGAATTATGCCTGGTGTCTTATCCGGATGGACCGGTCCTCCCCTAGACAAGACAGTTTTGCCCATCCTCTAAAAGGCTTATAAGCGATTTGCCACTCTAAATAAATAAGGTCGGGGCGGCGTACGCCGAGCGTGGAGAGCGGTGCGTAGCGCCCCTGCTGACTTTTCGCCGTAGCGAGAGTTTTGAACTGTTGGCTGCTGCGCGCGCAGAGGCGCTACTATAGTCCATCCGGACGAGACACCAGGCATAATTCAAATCGAACTTCACTCTGTGAGTTCGTTTGATTTTCCAATTATTGACTGTGGAAGTGACGAACCAAGGGGTCCTTATCTTTGTTGTCACAGACACATACACATGCGTGCACACTTGGCTCGAAGGTCAAAAACAACGATATTTTTGAAGGACTGTAACTTTGCGAAAAAAATTGTAGCGACTCCATTTTTTTCAAATTGAAGGGGAAGATTTGAACTGTATGACGATGCAAACGGCGTTCCCTCAAAAAAATTGTCCACGTCCGTGCATTCCGTCAAACTTTGCAATTTTCAGTATACCAAACCCATGCCCTCAGATGTTAGGGGTTATAGGGGTAGGAATGCATCGCATGTAAAAAATGGAGATACATTCTTAAAGTAGAGACTTCAAGCTTCATTTTGAAAAAAAGTCAGTCTCAATAATTTTTCGCGAAGTAATCACCAGTCAAAGTTGGCCAATTTTCGGCAATAAATTATCTATATCATAATTTTTTTGAGCAGTGTATTATTCTGCGAGTCGTGTTGAGTTATATGCTGCATAACACAACAAATAAATGATTAAAGATGTTATGAAAATTACAGAAATTGAAAACAATTGATCGAAACGAATAAGATGAAACAAATCAAATTTTTTCAAACTTTGATAATTTGTGCTACACAAGTGCAATAATACTTCCTAATAGCAAAAAGTCGTCAAATTGTTAAATTATATAACATAATATAAGATATTTTTTTAGAAAATATTTTTAGAAAATACAAATTTTACGTTCCCGTAACTTTTGAACTATGGCAGCTAGTCGAAATTTATGAGTTATGCAAAAATTAGAATAAAATAATACATAAATGTATAGACATATGAGACAGTTTTAAAGTAGTCAGGAATTGTTAAATATAAATAAAAATAAACTTCTCATCAATTTTTTCTTTTTTATATCAATATATTGTTTTTGAAAAATTCTTGATTTTTTATTGAAACATTTTTGCATTTGAGCAGAACAACTCAACACACCTCACGTTATATTATATGTATTTTTCCACCAAATTTTTATATCTTAATAAATATCGTAGTTATTTGTAACATAGTAAAAGACATTTTTACTTCATAATTTCTATATACGAGCAGATATATATGTATCAGACTCTGTATAATTGAGATTAAAATAAGAGGAGAATAGGATTAAGATTATTAACAGAAAAATAATTTTTATAAAGGCAAAAATATTATTATGAGTTATGTATAAAAAGTAAATATATTTATAAGCTAGCTCTTAATTGTACTGATTATTTTTGAAGTACTCTGGCCATGCAGCTCTTTCTATCCAGGGGATGTAGTTATAGACTCGAGTGTATATACCAGGTATGATGCTTCCGCATAGTCGTCCTACACTCGTAATACCAATTATGTTATACACACACTCATGAACCGTGTTAAAAACGGCCAGAGGTCCTCCGCTGTCACCCTAATAAACATGTAATATGTTATATAACATGTTATATAAATATAAAAAATATTGGCTTCGAATGGAACGTAAAATTGAAACTTTTTATTTTTGCGCGGATGATAGAAATTATTATTTAGATAATTTTTCGGATCTTCTGCTCTTTTGATGTTTTTCCAGCGTCATCTGATATTGATCAAATAATATAACTGATTATTTTGATTAGATCTAGATTTAGACTCAGAAATTACAATAAAATATTGTTGAAATTAACCATCGGAAATTTGGGAAAACAATTTTGAAAAAAGAGAGTAATTTACATATTATTAGATGAATATTTTCAACTCGAAAAAGGAATTAATATATTACCTGACAAGTATCTTTTCCTTCTTCTCCCGCACATATTTGCCATTCGTCAACAATGCCTCGTGCAAGCTTGATAATGCTATCGACATCGAAAAAGCTTTCATTGCAAGACTGCTGCGGAACCAAACTGAGCGTCACTTTTAACAAATTGTCGGAACCCTGTTCCTCGGCTATAACACAAAGTAATACAAAATTATAAAGTTATTCAAAGATTTACAATATTCCTGTTATAATATTTAGTAATCCAAATTATTTCCTAATGTTATATATTCTAATTAAGAAATTTTTAATGTGTAAATGATTTACTGTGTGTTTTTCTATATTCAAAATCATTTAGAAGTTATGTTGTCATAGCTCCTTTTAATGTTAATTATAAAAGCACGCAAACAAAAACACGTAGTTCGACTTAAAAAAGTTACACTTTAACATTCTAATATTTTAAAAAATGACCTTGAATGACGAGAAAAACATTTGTCATCATAATTGCTTTCTTTAAAAGTGTTTCTTTTTAGACGTTTCTTCATATCAAAAATACACATACACAAGTGAGAAATTTAAGATATTCAAATAGGCCATCTTATATACACATATACAGGGTGTCCGGTAATTAGCTGCCAACCCAAAGTGTGAAGGTAGATTGAGTTAAGACAAACATAAAACTCCCATGCCATTTTGCGAGATTCGCAATAATCATCGAGTTATTAATTACAGAAATCTGAGGAGTGGAAGCGCACCGACATAGATGATTGGAGAAGCGTTGTAGCTGCTCAGGCCACAGCGCGGCCCAATCGATCCAGAAACTCTTGCTGGTGCGTGGCGAAGAGAAGGACAACGTGCCGCTATTCGTTGTTTTATCTCGCCACACCTACATTTCGCCGCACGCCGCCAATAGTTGCTGGGTCGATTATGCTATGTTATAACCCGAGAGGTTGCGACGCTTTTTCAATCATCCATTTCAGCGTGCGTTCATTCGTCAAATTTCTGTAATTAATAACTCGATAATTATTGCAAATTTCGCAAAATGATATGGGACTTTTATGTTTGTCTTAACCCAATCTATCTTCACACTTCGGATTGGCAGCTAATTACCGGACACTCTGTAGGATAAATAAATAAATAAATACATATATTTTTTAACATAAATCAATTTCTTTAGTATATTCCACATGTAGAAATATTAAGGTAAAATTATAAAAAATAAAACTTTTTCGAGTTTAGCATTTTGTATCCTGATATCCTTGTACTTTTTAGTACAAGATATTAAATATCTCGTAAACTCTTTGCAAATTTCTTATGTATTTTGTGTTTTACAGTTTGAGCACTTTTTTTAATACAATTTAGAACATACAGCTGATTGTCCGCTGACAAAACGTAACTTCTGCCAATTAAACAAAAACAATTTCTCTTTTTAGTTTATCGTCTTATATTTCAAATTGAAACATATTTCAAATTAAAAGAAATATCTAGACCGTTTTGATACTAAGCATACATTCGTTTCAATAATCGTTTACAAAAATTTTTGTCGGATGAAATTAAAAGCGCAACGAATGATCATAATTACGAGCTATTAAGCAACTTGCACGATAATCCGTTATATATGTAATTAGTTCCTGCTGTAGTGATAATATATGAGATATAAGTGATAATATCCTATGTTACAATTGCAACTGTAACAAAAGATTCAGAAAAGATGCAAATATTTTTAATATACTGTTGTGTACGACCCACAAGAAGTGTGGCAGCGTCCGTTGTCCGCGAGCCTTAGGCATATGGATTTTGACAGTTGCAGGATGTTTGTCTGAACGACAGGAGTTTTTGAAAAACAACAGCAACGGAGTTTGTCACGAGCCTGTCGACGCGAGCAGACGTGACTTAGACGTTTCTTTTTGGTATTTTTAAGACGAGAATTTTCGTGAGTCTGTACATATTAGAAGTAAAGCAGAGTTCTTCTTTTCCTTTAATCCTGTGTCAGTTCATTTCGCGTGCCCGGGACGCGCGAGACGGACACGCGCAACAGTACTTTTATATACTAGGTAAAATTATAACAAAGAGAATCAATATCCACATTATGTGCTATCACTTTGAGACTTCTGTCATAAAATCGATTACTGTACAAATTGATCACTAGCCATGTAAACAGTGATTCACAATTGATGTTTAATTAACGTGCTTTTAACTTTTTATCGGAAAGAATATGTTCAAATTATGTTACAAACGAGTGTATATTATGGTATATTATGGTATATTATGGTCATATATAATTTATAATATTTTCTTTTTTCAGAATCACATAATTATAAGAAAGTGCACTCTTTGTAATCATATTTTAATTAGTTCGATGCTATATCAATGATAATTAACAAAGTCAAGTATATATTTAATTGTTGCAAAGTATAAGCAAAGTATAAATTTTGTGTGTATGCCATGATTATGTGAAAAATTTATATAATTTCTGTTTTTTCGATCACATAATTATAAGACAATTTTTTTGTTATCTCTTACCCCAATCAACACGTCCCCATCCAGTAGCAACTGCTTGACCATCAATACCAGTATCAGGTAAGTCAACCGGGAGACATGCCGGCCTGACCCATGCGTTATAGGTAACTGAGGTTTCCAACTTCATTATGGCTATGTCATGATACTCCGACGGATTTTTATAATCAGGATGCGATATTCTTTCAACGATTCTAATGGTTTGCGGCCTTGCATCATCATTCGTCCGCGCTAGATTCAGGTCACCGACTCGTGCCCACTTCGCGATTCCCCTTTAAGATGGATGAAATATATGAAGATGGATGCATTGAGGTTTAGAAGAAAGAAAAGATGACTAACAAGATATATAACATTATACATCTATATACTTCGACTTACCAGTCTTTGCTAAAAGTACAATGGGCCGCTGTCAATACCACTTTGTCGGAAATCAGGCTACCACCACATTGCCACAGTATCTCATTCTCTCCATTTTCGAATCCGATAGCCGTCATGTGCGGAAATTCTTTCGGCTCAGCTTTCTTACCTCCGACGATCAATTTGCGCGTTTTCAAGGCACATCTCGATCTGTTCACAGGTTCTCGGTCCAGTAGAAGCGTAGGTGGTAATTCGAAGCCATAAACAGCTTCCGCACTCTCCGCACATTCTATAAAATTTACATTGAAATAAAAATATACAGAGTGTTTCAGAACTTTGGGACACGGGCTTCATAGGAACATAGAGCTAAGTGACAGGAACAAAAAGTGCACTACCACAATGTGAAAATCGTAATAGTTTTTTAGTAATAACCGCGTAAAGTATGACGTTTTCCACGCCCATCGCGGCCTATAGACGCTCCGCGGCAAGCTGTGTGCGTAGGGGCTAAGCGATAACGCGGCTCGCGTTGACCGTCAAAGCGTCAAGACACCATCGCGACAGTCAGTGCGAGACGCGTTATCGCTCAGCCCCTACGCACACAGCTTGCCGTGGAGCGTCTATAGGCCACGATGGGCGTAGAAAACGCCAAACTTTACGCGATTATTACTAAAAAGCTATACGATTTTCACATTATGGTAGAGGACTTTTTTGTTCTTCTCACTTAGCTTTATGTCCCTACGGAGCCCGTGTCCCAAAGTTCTGAGACACCCTATATAGTAATCACTTATAAAAGTTATATCTCAAGGATTATTTTTATTTCAATATATAAAACATCTTCTATGATATAAGACTGCGCTAATATTCACAAAATGTATTGTATATATAGAGAAAAAATGTATTAATAAATATGGATCGAAATATTAATATTGTCGGCAAAAGTAGTATAATTGATAGTAGTATATTAGTATTGTTGTATATTATATTTGCATTAATATTGTTGTTATGGACAATTTATTTTAATTAAAACAAATCACTTGCTGCTAGTGCTTTTGTGCTTTTATAGTACGGTAAGAATAATATCATATTACCCAAATAAAAAAATGGCAGGAATGCATTTCATGTATGGCTGTGCATCAGAAGTGAGTTAGTCACTAGCTCTTTTTTAAAATAAATAATTATTCATAACTCTAATAATTTTTCTTTAATATTAATTTTTCGACCCATTAAGATTTTTTTCTATTTTATGAATATTATATGTCCTTAAAATCCCTTTTTTTAAATACCTTGTGTAATGGTCACATATATCACACCCATGGAAGAAGAATAATGTTAAATAAAAAAAAATAATTTTATTCAAGAGGAAAAAAACGACAACATTATATATGTTGTCAGAAACATATGTATGCACTTCGATTATATTTGTATAACAGCATTTTTCCGTTATTGATATATTGGGTTGGCAAATAAGTTCGTTCGGTTTTTGTTTCAGTGTAAGTTTCATGCTGATTCGCTTTTATTTTTTCAGCGCTATCGTGCAAATCGAATACACATTTGAAAGGTTATGTTTCACTGTTGTGCTGTGTTTGGTTTGGCTAACATCAGTATTGTGTGTGCTGCGTAGTTGTGAACATGGAAATAAATAACGTGCATTATCGTCATATTTTGCTCTATTATTTTAAAAAAGGCAAACAAGTTGCGGATGCTCATAAAAAGATATGCCGTGTGTATAGAGATGATGCCTTAACAGAACGCGTATGCCAAAAGTGGTATGTCAATATTCCGTTCTGGAGATTTTGACGTCAATGATGAGCCCCGCTCCGGTCGCCCGACCGAGATTAATTCAAGTGACATTAAGGCTATAATCGAAATAAATCCATCCCAATCGATACGAGAGATTGCTACGACATTGAATATATCCCACACAAGCGTAGAAAAGCATTTGCGTCAGCTGGGATACGTTTCTCGGCTTAATATTTGAGTGCCGCATCAATTAACCGAAGCTAACTTGACCATACGCATATCCATCTGCGATTCGCTGCGGAAACGCTAAGAAAACAACCCATTTTAGAAACGAATGGTGATGGGTGACGAAAAATAGGTTGTCTACGATAATGTAACGCGTAAAAGATCACGGAGGTACAGCAGCGAGCCACCGCAAACAACCTCGAAGGCGGGATTGCATCCGAAGAAAATAATGCTCTCCATATGGTGGGATTTCAAGGGTGTCATCTATTACGAACTGTTACCGTCAGGCAAAACGATTGATTCAACTGTATACTGTTCGTAATTGACGAAATTGAACCAAGCAATCCGCACAAAACGTCCAGAATTATCAAATCGTTGGGGAGGGAATAGTTCCCCTAACTCCTCTCACAACGGTCCGAATGGTAGACATCCCGCAGGGGTTTTAGTCAGTAAAAGTCTGACATAACCCCCGATCCCCCCAAGGATCAGGGGTATCCTATGAGGATTTCCCCTGCGTTATCAAAGAACAAAAAGAATTATCAAATCGCAAGGGTGTCGTCTTCCACTACGACAACGCCAGACCTCATACGTCGTTGACCACTCGGGACAAATTGCTTCAGCTTGGCTGGGATGTTTTGTCTCATCCTCCGTATTCACCGGATCTTGCCTTTTCCGATTATCATTTATTCCGGTCGCTGCAGAACTCTATGAATGGGAAAACCTTCAAGGATAAAGAGGCCGTTAAAAACCACCTGGATTAGTTTTTCGCCGATAAGCCCCATACGTTTTATGAACGCATAATGAAGTTGGTGGAAAGATGACTAGAGGTCATCGATAAAGATGGCCAATATATAATTGATTAAAATTTATTTTGTGTATCAAAAAATTGTGTTTCATTCTACCCTAAAAAACCGAACGAATTTATTTGCCAACCCAATATATGATTATGTGGCTATATAGATAAAATTCATATATAATCTTTTTTTTCCCTCGAAATGTCTAGTTCAATGCGCACGTTCACTCGTACGCGAAAAGAATTTATCAAACTAAATAAAAAAACTTTTCCCAATTTTGTTCTTAAATTAACTTAAAGCTAAATTAAAGCTAAATAAGTTTGTTTACTATTATTTTCTGTCATGACTTGTAAATAAGAATGGAAAATATGAAAGATATAAATTGTAATGCGAAATTTGTTAATTAATTTAATTTCTTTTATTTCAGCTAATGCATTTATTTAATTCCTAACCTTTACTTAAGAATTGAAAGTTATTTCTTTTAAATTTCATATTACCGAATTCAAATGTTATTAAATTAGATATATACATTATGTTTCAAAAAGTTGGAATATTTTTCTCACTGCATTTAGAACATGGCGGATGTCCAATGAAAGAAAGAACCCAATCTGTAAGAATTTTCTATAAACAAATTACCTTGCAGGACTATCGGCTATATTCACAAGGAGATGCTACAACTTCGCCAATTTAAAATCGACTTCCAAACGAGTCATATCTCGTTCGATATCTTGCATATAGAGAATGAAGACCCTAAAGGGATTCGGGTGAATGGCCCTTCGTTTAAGAGAACTTGCGAAGCAAAGTTATTATCCGTCAATCGGAAAGTTCCATCCGTCTTCTTGCAAAACGTATGGCTTTATTTAAGAAACAAAATAAAAAAGTACATCAAAGTATTGTCCATCGTTAGCGATGACTTTTTCCCATCTTTCGGTCAGCAAGCGAATTTCGCGGCGAAAGAATGATTAATCTTTGGAGGCTATCCAGTCAGAGACCCATTTTTCGATGTTTTTATAAGAATTGAAGCATTCCTCAGCAAGTGCGTGGGCCATCGACCGAAACAAGTGGTAGTCGGAAGGGGCACTGTTTGGTGAATAAGCCGCATGGGATAACACTTCTCAGCGAAGTGCTTCTAACGTTTCCTTGACAGATTTTGTGACATGAGGCCGAGTGTTGTCATAAAGTAAAATTACTTTATGCTGTCTCGTTTCATATTCTCGTCGTTGTTTGTGCAATACTCGGCTCAAACGGATCATTTGTTTTCTGTAGAGATTCCCTGTGACTGTTTGATCACTTTTCAATAGCTCATGGTACAGCACACCCTTCTGATCCCACAAAATACAGAGCATTGCCTTCTTTCCGTGGATATTCCGCTTTGGCGCCGATGTTGAGGGTTGGCAGGGATCGCAAATAGTTTTTCGACGTTTGGGATTGTCAAAATATATCCATTTTTCATCCCCAGTGATCATACGATGTGAAAACCCCTTTCTTTGTTGTCTAGCGAGCAGAATTTCGCAAGTGGTTTTTCGCCTTTCAATGTGTTTTGGCTTCAGTTCATATGGGACCCATTTTCCTTCCTTGTAAACCTTTCCTAAGACTTTCAAATGATCGGAAATGACAGATTGAGCACAATTTTATGCTTCTGCAAGTTGCTTTTGCGTTTGATATGGATCTTCGTCCACCAATGCCTGCAATTCTTCGTCTTCGAATACCCTTGGCCGTCCAGAATGCTTTTTGTCCTCTACATCAAAATCATCAATTTTAAAGCGTCGAAACTATTCTCTGCATGTTTTATCGGAAAGAGCATTATCACCATAAACTTCTACAAGCATTCGATGAGCTTCAGCTGCAGTTTTCTTCCAATTGAAGCAAAAGATTAACACTTCGCGCAAATGACGCTTATTTGGCTCAAATTTCGACATTTTCGATGCAGTAAAAAACAATATTATTGATGCAAACGTATACTTTTATGTACTAAATGTTATTGACAGATGTCAAAACAAATTATTAAGCTTCGTTTAGACATTATAGGTTAACGACAGTTCTAGCTATAGCTACTTGTCGTTAAACGGACGGAACTTTCCAATTTACCTAATAGATTGAAGAAGCTGCTCCTTCAAGAGTGTAAAATATAGAGGCATAAGCACTAATGCGGCATATCCAAAAAGACAGAGCTCGCCCGACGCTTTTTTGTGCCGGCGACGAGCGTTCGAATCCCGCCAACGTTTTTTCATATTCTTTTTTTTCTTACCTTGCAATTAATGCTTTTAACTTATAATTAATATATTATTTATATTTGTTCTTTTAATGCAGATATGTGGAGAATTATGCAGGTAAGTCCCAAACTTTTTTAACCCAGGCTTTAAAATATAAAATGAAAACATAATTTGCAATTTTTAAACAGAATATATTTAAACAGAATATATTTTTCTGACATATCACAAAGTTTTGACTTACAATTTATACCGCCGAACACTGTACACCAATCTGCCAGCCTTGTAACGTTTATTTTTATAGGTAAGTTAAAATTATTATAAAGAAAATTCAAAATTGTCCACATTTATTTGCAGGCGACAAAAGTATATTTGAACACTGTGCTGATGTGATTCACATACAATCGCTTACTCACTACTTATTATCAGCACCAGGATTCAAATATATGCTGCAATATGCTTGGTATGCATCCAATTTAGCAGAAAGTCGAGACATTTTTTATAATTATAATCAATGTTTTCCAAGCAACATTCATAATCGAAAGTGCGTTTGTGAGCAACATAATTCTTTTATTATATGTATCTGGTGCAAAAAATATTTATGATTCGAACGTTTTTATATAACTTTTCATCCTCAACATTGCGACGATATAACAGAATTTTATAACGCATAGATTTTGCAAAATGTTTCTATCTTGTGATATGTATACAATTTTGTGACGTCTAAGAAAAATATATTCCGTTTCAAGAACTGCAAATTATGTTTTTATTTTATATTTTACGTTAATAAAGCCTGGAACTTACCTGCAAAATTCCCTACATACCTGTATTAAAAAAGAACAAATATGAACAATATATTAATTATAAGTTAAAAGCGTTAATTGTATGTGCAAGGTAAGAAAAAAAGGAATATGAAGAAACGTTGGCGGGATTCGAATGCTCGTCGCCGGCACAAAAAAACGCCGGGCGGGCGCTTTCGTCCTCTCGGCTGCGCTGCACAGTGGGCAAAAAGACTCATTTTTTGGACAAAAATCTACCAATAGTGCAATTTTCAATTGATCTCCAAATCTTTTTTTAATTTACTCATGAAACATTGCTCTACAATATAGTACTGCGGCATTGATGAAAAAAAAGCTGAAATTCAAAATGGCGGATAGAAAATGAGTGACGAAAGTATTGAATTCCTGTCGAATGATACTTTTCTCTTATAATATTAAATATATTTACACTGAAATTGTTTTCTGGGCCTCTAAATATGAATTTGAGATTAAACTTAAAACTAATAAATCAAAATAATATTTATTATAAAAGTAAAAAATGTCGAAACTTTACAAGATTTATTGGATTTACAAAAGAAAGATTATTATGCACTTGGCACATAATTATTAAAAATTTGTCATATTTTAATATTAAATTTGTACAAAATAGCAGAATTTTGTTATATTGCTTTATAACTATTTAGATAATAAAACAATATTTAAGCCCTTATACAACTTCAAGGTATTGGCCATTATAAAGGTATTGCTTTTTTTGTCTTTTTTGTTTTCTTGTCTTTTTATTTTCTTCAATTTTTTAAATGTTTTTGTTTATTTTAAATATTTATGTTATATTTGTTTGAATTTTTTTCTACTTACATGTTTTAGGTTAATATTTTTATGTTTTAAACGTCATTTGTATGTATGTATGTGTGTGTGCGTGTGTGTGTGTATGTGTGTGCGCCGAATTATTGCACATAGCATTAAAATCAGTCGTATGACTCAACTAAGAAATCTCTTAGTTGTCACATACACACACACACACACAAATAACATTTAAAATATAAAAATATTAACCTAAAATGTAAGTAGAAAAAAATTCAAACTAATATAACATAAACATTTAAAATAAACAAAAACATTTAAAAAATTTCAAAAAAACAAAAAATAAAAAAACAAAAAACCAGTACCCTTATAATGGCAAGTATCTTGACGTGGTATAAGGGCTTAAATATTGTTTTATTATATAAGCAGTTATAAAGCAAACAAAATTCTGCTATTTTGTACAAATTTAATATTAAAATATGACAAATTTTTAAATAATTATGCCAAGTGCACAATAATCTTTCTTTTGTAAATCCAATAAATCTTATAAAGTTTCGACATTTTCTACTTTTATAATAAATGTTATTTTGATTTTTTAATTTTAAGTTCAATCTCAAATTCATGTTTAGCGACCCAAGAAACAATTTCAGTATAAATATATTTAATATTATAAGAGAAAAGTATCATTCGACAGGATTTCAATACTTTTGTCGCTCATTTTCTATTTCAGCCATTTTGCCATTTTGAATTTCAGCCTTTTTTCACCAATGCCGCAGTACTACGTTATAGAGCAATGTTTCATGAGTGGATTAAAAAAAAATATTTGAGATCGGTTGAAAATTGCATTGTCGGTAGATTTTTGTCCAAAAAGTGAGTCTTTTTGCCCACTGTACGCCGCCTTAGTGCTTGTGCCTCTACATTTTCCGCTCTTGATAGAGCAGCTCCATCAGTTTAACTTTGCTTCGCAATTTCTCCTAAACGAAGGGCCATTCAACCGAATCCCTTTAGGGTCTTCATTTTTCACATACAAGCTATCGAACGAGATATGACTCATTTGGAAATCGATTTTGTAGCATCTCCTTGTCACTACTGCACATCAAAGAAGATGTTGAAATCGTTTTAAAAGGATATATACGATTCTTTGTTAATTGCATCCATTAGCTAATTGTAGCATTGATTACTTCCACTTTCCACGTTCCTCATATTATCCATCTTTTATTGAGGAATAAATTAGAACTATTTACTTGCTCGTGCTAATGATCCTCTTCTGTTGTCCAATATCAAAGTTCGCGGCGTGCTTATTCTTTCGGTGGTGCTTGTGGTGGTGCTTATGGTGGTGCCTGTGGTTGTTTTTGACGTTATCCTTTTCGTAGTGGTATCCTTTCCATTATTTGTTGGACAACAGACTGTCGGTTCAAAACCTACAAATCCGCATCTCGTACTGGGTGGTTTTCCGGCTAACAGTGCGTCATAAACTGGCTGGCAGTCTTGCAGGAGCGTGCATACACCTGACGTCAAGGACCCGCCTGAATTATTAATCGTACATTCCTCTGAAAATTATAAAAGAATCATTAAAGAACTTTAAAAAGCTTACTTTAACATTTTGATAGTCGTTGCCACATATATGACTTTATTTTAATAATAATTATTGCTTTATAAAAAAGTATTAATCGATCTCAGTCACTAATAATAATAATAATAATGTTACAAACTAAAAAAATTGTTAGATTTTTTATAGAATAATATTTAAATCAAATATTAAATAAATAAAATAAATGGATTAGTGAGTTTGTATACTTGCAAGAAAATTGTTATCTCATTTTATAGTTTAACTTTTTTACATGAAATAAATACAGTTTTACAATAAAAATATATATTTTTGAATTAATGTTCTTTTAATTCTTGATTCATCACTAAAATTTATATTAACTGTGTAAATAATTCGGTAAATATACAGGGTGTTTGATAGCTGATCATGCAGACGAAAGTTGGAGATAGATTGGGTGTAGCCGAGAAGAAAAGTCATGTACCATAATGTCAAATTGGCAATAGTTATCGAGTTATTAATTAAAACATGTGAGCCAACGAGCGCGTAGAGAGTGGAGGGCGACCGCAGTAAGCACGTAGACATTTGATACAGGCGGAGTCAATGAGTGTCGGTAGGCAAGCGCGCGCGGCGAAGGGCAACGTAAGCGACAAGAGGCGATCGCGCGCGACGAGGAGCGTGCGAGCTTTTTCTTTATAGCTTTTTCCTTATAGCTCGCTCGCTCCTCGTCGTTCGCGCTCGCTCGCTCTTCGTCGCGCTCGCTCGCCTTTTGTCGCTTGCGCTCGCTCGCTCCTCGTCGCTCGCGCTCGCTCGCTCCTCGTCGCGCGCGTTTGCCTCTTGTTGTTTACGTTGCCCCTCGCCGCGCGCGCTCGCCTATCGACACTCGCTGACTCCGCCTGTATCAAATGTCTATGTGCTTACTGCGGTCGCCCTCCGTTCTCTACGCGCTCGTTGGCTCATATGTTTTAATTAATAACTCGATAACTATTGCCAATTTGACATTATGGTACATGACTTTTCTTCTCGGCTACACCCAATCTATCTCCAACTTTCGTCTGCATGATCAGCTATCAAACACCCTGTATAAAGAAGTACATCTCACCAATTTTTTCATTTTGAAATATAATATGAAATGTTATAAGGGATGAAATTCTGAGTGACTTTTTTTAATACAATTATATGGAGGTCGCTTATAGTTTCTGAGATATTTGACTTTAAAGTATTATAATTGTACGTTGAAGTATATTTGAAGTAGACAAGCAGTTTTCATTCACTTTAAATATAGGAAACAGTACATATAAGCGGAAAAAGAGGCTCTGTCCCTTCCCTGCACCCTCTCCCCAAATAAATCCTAACCAAACCTAACTTATTTTATCTGTATGTATTTTTGGACATTGTTGTAAAAAGTTCTCTTAAGATCTATCACCTGGCTCAACTTAATTTATTATAATATCTGCATATAATTAGGTGTTGTGGCTTTTAAGGAGATCTTTTCAACATCGCTCAACAATATATACAGATGCAATAAGTTAGGTTAGGTTAGGATTGTTTTGGGGAGGTGGTGCGGGGGACCCCCCCACCGGCTGCACGTCATCTGCTATGCAGATGACACCTTAGGGGTGGCTGTGGGGGAGGACTGGGGGGATGCCCGCCTTCGAGCGGAGGCGGCGTTAGCATCGGTGGTGGGCTCCATCAGGAGCCTGGGACTGAAAACGGTGCCCCATAAGACGGAGGCCGTCTTTTTCCACGACGGCAGCCGTGGGGCGCCGCCGGAGTCCCAGGTTTCGGTGGACGGAGTCCGCGTCCGCATCGAACCCAGTATCAAATACTTAGGCCTGATGTTGGACGGCCGATGGCCTTCGGGCCGCACATTAGGTGGTCGGCCCCCCCCCCCGGGTCCGGAAAGCCGGCCTGGCGTTAGCCAGGCTGATGCAGATCCAGGGGGCCCCGGATGGCACACTCGCCGTCTATACATCGGTGTAATCCTCTCGGTCGCCCTCTACGGGGCGCCCGTCTGGGCGCCCCAGCTTATGGCTACCGACTGCTACAAGCGCCTGATGCGTCAGGCGTTGCGGTAAGTGGTCGTGAGGGCGATCCGAGCGTTCCGCACCGTGTCGTATATGGCGGTGACGACTTCCCTTCCGTGGAGCTTATCGCCGAAGAGCGATGTACTCTTTATTGGAGGGTACGCGAGCTCCGCGGTGAGATGGAAGCAGTGTCGGACAGGGACCTGGCAGCCCTAAAGTCCCAGGCCAGAACCCGGGTCATGGCGCGGTGGGAGGCCATGTTGGCCGATCCCCGCGGACCCGGGCTCCAAACGGCCGTTCACCCCTGTCTCGCCGAAATGGTGAGCAGTTGGGAACGCGGACTCACGTTCCGGCTGGTGTAGGTACTAACCGGCCATGTTTTAGCCGGTTCCTGCACCAGATCCAGAAGGAACCCACCACTCGGTGCCCCCACTGCCCAGTGCTGGAAGACAAGGCGCACCATACGCTGGTTTCATGCGAAGCATGACCAGCAGCGCTGTGTCCTCGCCTGGGCGGTGGGTTGCGCCGAGGAGGATCTCTCGCTCCCGCGCATGGTCCAAGCCATGTGTGGGAACGAGGAGATCTGGTCGGCAGCGGCCTCCTTTGCGGAAGACGTTATATCTCATAAGGAGGCTGCCGAATGGGAGCGCCGCCCTGGCACCCGTCGCAGGGAGCGATAGAGAGGGCGGTGCTCCCCCAATCTAGATAGTGGGCCCAAGGTGGCGCCGGTCGAGGATCTGCCCCTGATCCCTCGGAGGCTGCCTCGACTGCCTCAGTCCGCGGAGGGGGGTGGCAGGTCTAGGGCCTGCCTTCTCCTGCGCGACGGTAAGGGAGGAAGAGGGGAGTGGGTGTGCCGGTTAGGGACGGGCAAACGAGAGAGGCTAGGAGAGAGGGTGGGTGTCCCCTCTCTCCTCCAATTGGACCAGGAGGCCAGCTCGATCGGGAAACCGGTCGGAGCGCCGCGCCCCCTCCTCCTGGGAAGGGGGGTGCGGCACTAGGGTGAGGGGCTCCATGAGAGCTCCAGGGCCGGGGTGTCGGGAAGAGAATGCTAGCGCAGTTTCCCTGACTTCCCCCACTCCTGTTTGCCTGGCAGACACTCCGGTGAGGTTTTAGCCAGTAAAAATCCGGCATAACCCCTCCTTCCAAGGGGCGGAAGTTTCCATGAGGATTTCCCCACCGTGATAAAAAAAGAAAAATGGGGTGCGAGGATGGGGCGGAACCTCTCTCCCCCTTATATGTACTGTTTCCTATATCTCTATGTATACACTATGTTTGGATTAACTGTTTGGATTGTACTGTAAATAACGTCAGCTTATGATATCTGGAATTGAATTCTAGGATAAAACTCAATTCCAGGAACAAAATTCCAAAACTTTAAAATCACATCGCAGAAACTATAAGCGACCACTATATAGTTCTATCAAGTAGTCACGCAGAATTTCATCCTTTATAACATATTTCAAAATGAAAAAAATTGGTGGGGTGTACCCCTTTCTATATATTTACCTCTACTTCAAATATTAGGTGCGCAACTAAGTTTCCGGGTTTTTTGATCAATGAAAAATGGAAAATTTCAAGAGAAATATAAAAAATGGTTCACTCAAAGTATCGTCCTCGCTAGCTACACATTTTTGCCATCTCTCTGGCAATACATGAATACACGCGACGATAAAACGACACGTCTTTGGACCGAAACTATTCATCCAACCAATTTTGCACTTCATCGAAATTGACCATGTGTTGCCCAGCCAAGCCATGCGTCATCGACCGGAACAAGTGATAATCGGAAGGGACCAGGTCTGGCGACTATGGCGGGTGTGGTAGCAGATCCCATTTCAGCGTTTTGATGGTGTCCTGGACGATGGAAGTGCAATGGCACGGAGCGTTGTCGTGCTGCAATATCACTCGTTCGTGTCTCGTGTCCCATTCTGGCCGTTTTTCGAACAATACATGGTTCAAATTGATCAGTTGTTGTCGGTAGCGATGCCCATTGATAGATTCGCTCGGTTTCAGCATCTGCTCATAGTACACGATTCCTTTCTGGTCCCACCAAACGCAGAGCATTGTTTTCTTTCCGAAGCGATTTGGCCGTGCCGTCGATATTGATGCTTCGCCAGGTGAAAACCACGATTTTTTGCGTTTTGGGATTCTCGAAATACATCCACTTCTAATCGCCAGTAACAATTCGATGCAGGAAACTCTTTCTTTCATGCCGCAAAAGCAAAATTTCGGAAGTGGCTCTTCGGTTTTCCATATGTCTCTCAGACAACTCATGCGGCACCCCATTTTCCTTCCTTTTGAATTTTTCCCATGTCATGTAAACGTTTGGAAATACCTTGGCGCGTCATATTTAATGCCTCCGCAAGTTGATCTTGTGTTTGCGTATCATCTTCATCCAATAACGCTTGCAGATCGGCGTCCTCAATTGTTTTTGGTCTCCCGGAGCGCTCTTTGTCCTCAGTGTCGAAATCGCCACTTCTGAAGCGTTTAAACCAATCTTCACAGGTAGTTTTCGATGGTGCATGTTCGTCGTAGACCTCCTCAAGCGAACAACATGCTTCAGCTGCACTTTTTTTCAAGTTAAAGCAGAAAAGCAAAGCTTCCCGCAAATGTTGTTTATTTGCCACAAAACTCGACATCTTCGTTGTTAGAAAAAATATTTTTGCGTTGCGAAATGTGTTGGTATTACGACTAGTTATTGTTAACAGATGTCCAAACTATAAAAAAAAACACAAGTTCAGACATGTATGTCGACTACATATGTCGTTAGCGCCATCCATGTATGATGCCCAGAAACTTAGTTGCGCACCTAGTACATTTCAACGTACAATTATAAAACTTTAAAGTCAAATATCTCAGGCACTATAAATGATCCCCATATAATTGTATTAGGAAAAGTCAATCAGAATTTCATCCTTTATAACATATTTCAAAATAAAAAAAATTAGTGAGGTGTACCCTTTTCTATATATTTACC